ATTTATTCCTTGTGACCCATTAATTCGTTACAAATTGTGAAATAGACATGGATACGTATCATCAACAGTGGAATGCTTCGATATTATGAATCTGTTCGTTTGGCAATCAGTGTATTTCACAATCGACAGCAAGAATATGCTAAAAGACATAATTCGTCAATGACGGAAATCGATTTTCTTTCTGATCCACTATTGCCACAACATTTTCGAGTCCAATGCAACACATTGGGTATAGCTTCGAATGGATCTTTTATTCGTTTAGCACCTGTTCCTCTATTTTTTTTATCGACATCAAGCAAAAGCTGTGCAATGTTCAGGAGTCAGTGCCAAACTTACCCATGGCGATAAGAAAGCTGTTGATGCATGCCGTTACTACGGAGCACTTATTGTTGGTGCAGTAAAAAATGTACCAAAAGCTGAATTGTTAACTGAACAAATTTATTCAGCAATAGAAAACTGGCTGAACAAGAAGCCCTTATATTTGGAAGTACAAACTATTGCCAAGGATTCATTAAAAAAAAAAGAAACGAGGATACGATGAAGGAATTGAAAGTATAGAATATATCATTAATTCTCTCGAAACTGCTTGGTGGGCTTTTTGACATACAAGATCTTTTAAGGAAGATGTTGTAGCAGTAATCTAGCTTGATAATGATACTGACACAATAGTTAATATTTATGGTTAGTTGTTTGGTGCATACTATGGCTACCACACATTACCCAAGCAGTAAGCCTCGTCTCTTGTTGCTAATCGATTTGTTGCATGTTTGAGCAAATGAATCCTATTTGAAGGAGATCACTGGGCTCCAAAGATTTTATTTTTTTACTTGAAAATGACTAAATGTTACAACATTTCAATAATAAACATTGCGTTTCATACCAACTTATTGACTGTTTTTTTGCTTATGAGAAAAACATCTTACTTTTAAAGCTATTGATTAATCGAAGAAAGAGTATCAATGTACTTTATCTTATTAAAAAAATTTTCTTACAATGAATAAGTTGTGAAGAAAAGAAAGCTAAACATGACGCCTATATTGTAGAGTTCTTCTTGAACATATTTTTTCTACAAAAAGAAACATATTCAGTGTTCAAGTGATCAAATCAATTATAAAGAATTGAAAACATTTCTCCGAAAACACAGAATTTTTAATACAGTTGGGTACAGTTGTGTGAGGTAAGATGGAGGACACAAACACATTCACTTCCATCTAATTTCAGGAACTTGATGGAACTGTTGATATAGTCGCTGGTTTCATTAACATCAGTATCTTTCTTTTCAGGTAGGAGATCCAATTGTTCTTAAAGATTAGTATGGTGTATGTTTGCCATTGTAGATGTGAGTTTCCTCTTTACTTTCACTCACACTCACACCCACGCCTAACTCTATTGCCTGAAAGGTTACTGAATAGTTAGTCAGAAAGCTTTATTTGTTAGAAAAAATAATAAAGACTAAAAATACAGCTATGTCTCTATGCAGGAAAGGTTGCTGTGAAGTCTTTTTTAAATTAATTAATTGATGATTATAGACCGATAATCAAGAAGATCGGATTCTTGTTTTTGATTGCTGTCGTGGTACTTTGGTGACATTAACTCGGCTGTTTGTATTTGGCATATTCACTGTTGCCGATGAGCTTGTTTGACAACTACTTTTTATTGGCCGCACTTGAACTGCTGGTCTTTTCACTTTTATTACGCTGATACTTCCAAGACTCCCCGCACGCGATTTTTGTTTTCCAGATAAATCGAAATCAGCTCTCGTCTGTAGTCCACCAGCCACGTTCACCACCTTGCTTATGTCATATCTTGTATTTGGATAGATTACATTGCTGTGCCGTTGTTTGTTAAGTTCTTGCAAGTTCGTATCGGCACTACGAGCTCTCGGTATTTTATTTCGTGGTATTTTGATAACACTAATTCGACTAATGTTAACTGGAGATTGATAGATTAATGGTGATTTGCTGTTCTGTCTTTCATTAGCTTCGTCTGGCTTGAGTATTCTACTCACTCGATGAACTTTTACTGAAGAATAACGAGTAATTGGTACACTTTGATTATCGCTCTGGTCAACTAGCGGTTCAATTGAAGTAATTCCATTGTTTATTGGTTTCTCATTACGACGAACTCTGGTCACATTTATGCCATCTTTGTTTTTGAAAGAGGTTGCTGACATAGGTATAGTTTCCTCAGTTTCTCCAGCCAAAAACAAACTGATACTGCTATTAGTGTTCCTGAACGAATCATAGCTTTCATAGCTGTTGCTTGTCTTCTCTCTTGGAATATATTCATTCACATCTGGTGACTTTTCAAATATCTTCTTTCTATTTGATAGCAGATTGTTAAGTCGCCGTATGTCTTCTTTGTTTGCTCTTCGCCGACGTCGTCGTGCACCAGGACTCCTATTTCAAAATCAATATTGTTCGATTTATAACTATTCGAGTATTAATG